TCGGGCTGTGAAAAAACCTATGCCCCAGCGGCTATGGCGTTTCTACTCACCAGTGTGATTAGAGTTTTTGTCCCTGCACCCCGAGCTTTAGCCTCTGCCTTCTTGGGAAGGGTTTGGAGGGGCCCACCTGTGGAATCTCCATCGAGGAGAGGCCAGCAGGTCACCCGAAGTCGATCGGATGGCTCCGACCGCTGTCGAGAGACGGGTAGGGAGCAACGGGATGTCCCATGCAGGTCACACCAACTCCGTAACGAACGACAGACCCAGACCCCACACGAACATATCTGATAAGAGCTCCCCGAACTTGTCACTCGAGCCACTGAGGTAACTTTACCGACCCCCACTTTACTTTTCCAGTACATGAGCATTCATTCATCCATTCTCATGCATGCATTCATACATTTATTCATACATTCATTCATACATTCATCTCATACATCCAAGCATTGCATATGCAATTATTGCATCACAACGCGTCGCATCGCGTCACGAAGCGGTATTATCATTCGACATGAGCGGCAAACGACCGAGGTTCGAAGGCCGGCCCATGAAGGGCACGAGGCTGCCACACGTCAAACAGAGCTAGGAGAGAAAAACGTAGATGAGCCCCAGTGGCCTTGCCCGACCCCACTCAGAAGCAGACAGTGACATCTAGACCTTTCTTGTTTGATCCTAACCTTGAGCCAAGCCCATAGAATCTCCATCGAGGAGAGACCAGCGGGCCACCTGAGTTGCTCTCTGGAGCGACACGGGCATCTACGGGGAGGTGGGTTAAGGAGTAGTGGAATACCACATAAGGGCTATGTCGACCCCGTCAGTGAATGACGGACCCAGATTTCGCTCAGACATGCCCGTTAGCGAGCTCGCCGAGCGCGACACTCGAGACATCAAGGCAAGTGTTGTTAGCTTAGCCCCTCCGGTTGCAAAAACCGCGGACGAGGTGATGCGTGAAACACGACCAACCCCCACTCGAGAACTATATGGATTGACCGCTGAGGATCTAGGGTCAGTCACCAAGCCGACCCAAGACGGATCCCCGTGAATGGGATGCTGGGGGTCCCACTCAGATTAGCCCATTAACAGCTCACCAGGCGCCATGATTCGTCCTTAGAGGAAAATCGTGGCACGGCTCGGCCCCTCCATTTTTATCGGAAAAAACGCTTGAGGGAAGACAATCATAAAGACGAACCGATCCTCGACCGGGGCCCTGCTACGGGAGGGGCTCAAGAAAAGGGAATCACCGCCCCCAGGTCACGATGTGGGCAACAAAAGAAGGCCGAGGCCTTCAGAGTCCTCCTGTTCAGAAAAGCCTCCAAAGGAGTTTTCTACTCCTCCGGAGCCTCAGGAGCTACTGTCGGGGACCAATACTAGGGTACCCAAAGAGGAGGAGCTAATAACCACCAACATTGATTCATCCGAGCAGTCAAGAGCGTGACTACAACTCCAACCGACCCCTAGGTGCGCAAGCTCCGCCTCGCCCGGCCTCTAGGGACAGGCTCCGCCTTGTCCGACACCGAGGCCATGGGCTCTGCCTCGCTCGACACCGAGGTCGTGGGCTCCGCCTCGCCCAACACTGAGGTCACGGGCTCCGCCTCGCTCGACCTCTGAGGGCTGGCTCCGCCTCGCCCGACACCGAGGCCGCGAGCTCCGTCTCGCCCGACCTCTGAGGATGAGCTCCGCCTCGCCAGACACCGAGGTCGCGGGCTCCGCCTCGCCCAACCTCTAAGGGCGAGCTCCGCCTCGCCCGACATTGAGGCCGCGGGTTTCGTCTCGCCTGACCTTTGAGGGCTGGCTCTGCCTCGCCAGACACCGAGGTCGTGGGTCTATCTCGCCAGACCTCTGAGGGCTGGCTCCGCCTCGCCCGACCTTTGGAGGGTGGGCTCCGCCTCACCGATATCGAGGCCACGGGCTCCACCTCGCCTGGCCTCTAAGGGCTGGCTCCGCCTCGCCCGGCCTCTAAGGGCGGGCTATGCCTCGTCCGGCCTCTGAGGGCTGGCTCTGCCTCGCCCGGCCTGTGAGGGCGGGCTCCACCTCGCCCTACCTTTGGGGACGGGCTCCGCCTTGGCCGGCCCTTGGGTTTGCACTCCGCCTCGCCCCGCCTCTGGGGGGACTTCGCCTCGACCGACCCTGAGGCCGGGGGTTCCATCTCGCCCGACAGAGACCCATGCCGCCACCAACCACTCTAGGTTTAAGTGAATGGGCCAGGGTCAAAGCTCTAACACCAGGGAGGTGACCGGCACACCCCAATATAACCCGTGGCTGTGACAGACCATACCTAGGGATTCACATAAGGAACAACGTCGAACGTACCGGTGTTGTTCTGCCTAACCCTCGTACGAGGGCTGACAGGCGCGTCAGTTCACCACGACGTCTACTAGGATGGAGTGGAGCGCCACGACCCAGAGACGACGCCTGCGCATGGCGCAAGTGATAGACAGGGCCGTGACGTGGAGCTATCCCTGTTGACGTCTACAAGGTCGGCGGGACCCGCGTGAAGGAAAAGAAAGACCCGGCGATCCTAGAGGACTTCTCCTTCTCATTCTTCTCTTTTCTCTCCACGGTAACCCGTGCTTTTCCTTGGCTTATAAAAGGGAAAGCAGGGCATCCCATAAAGGGGACTCGAATGCATCGCAACACATCCCACCGATTTGGACTCGGACCGATCGAACCCATCGAATCCCAAACCGATCAGAACACACAAGCATATAGCCGAGAAGCGACCGAGCTCTCGGCACCCGTTCGCTCCTCTCACTAGAGACTTGGGACATGTCTTTCTCTCGACCGTTTGTAACCCCTACTATGAACTTTCAGTGCTAGTAACACGAGCAGCAGCAACGAACTGGACGTAGAGACATTCTGCCTGAACCAATATAAACCTCGTGTCCTCTTAGCACACCATTCAGGTCAGACACGCAATATTAGAAATTTAGTTGCCGGTGACAACTTCAAACACCAACACACGCCGGTGAGCTCTAAAGATCTTGCCAGATGAGGCAGATTAATCCATTGAAAATCATAACAGTAGCAAGGTCTTATAGGTAACCGGAATATTCAGGATCTCTCCCAACCAAAAATATCCTCTCTTTTTCTGTATGTTTGGGCATTTTTTTCATTTGCCAGCTGCATGGGATGTCACCAAGCGCCAAACATCCTAAACCTCCTATACAAAAGGGGCATGCCAGTCAAAAAAAATCTTGGACGGTTCGGGTGTCCTATTTACACATGACACGCATTTTGATATAGCCACCCCTTGTTAGTAAATTTATCCACTGCTAAGCTCATGTATTTGATGAGCTTCCACGTGTATATCTTGCATTTATGTTGTTACATGAGATTTTTAGATGGGTCGAGGTTGTCATCCCATAGGATCCCATTAATTGCACTAGGTATGCAGAACAATTGTAAGCCCCGTTCACTTGTCTTATGAGTCGTACTATTTTAAAGAAATAATATTTTTCTTTCATAATAAATTAGCGAACAGTATTTTTAGTCATGGTTTTTCAACGAAGCGAACAGAGCCGTAGTCTAGATGTTCGTTGTCTATCTTCGAGTTACGTCTCCCTCTACCTCTGGCTAATCTCATCAATATTCAATGTGAACCTCCACGAAGACAAATTCTTGTATTCAAGTGGTAGATGCGATTTTGTTTCACAATGCGCACATATTCGGCATATTCGCTTGTTAGTTTCAGCCAGGACTTATCAATCAGCCAATATTATTTTTCTCTTATAACAAATCAGCACCAGTCGAGCTTATCAGCCTAGAAACCAATCAACGAACAGGCTGATTGACTCAGTCGCCATTACAATAACTATCGCCATTACAATAACTATTGCTCAAAGTGATGCAGTGCAATGCTTCCTAGAGAAGTGTCCTCCAATCAGGTATGGCCTCAAAACATTGTTGTTGTCATTGCCATCAGTGACAATGTAGAAGAGTTGAAGAGCAGTCACTTGCATTGTAGGAAATCCATTATGTTGGACGAGGGTTGTATTTATGAAAAAACTATATATATAAAATTATCCTTGTTATAGGAAAAATATATTCAAACAATAGAATAAGATATTCATGGTAGAGAAATTAATATATATTCTTGCAAATCGGTATCATTTTATTATCCCATTTTTTCACCAAGGAAACAACGATAGATGAAAGAATTCAAACTACTGGTTTCAATAAATGGTCAGGCCTTGTTTGAATGCATGCGTATTCGTTTTAATCCACATGTGTTGTAGTGGAATGGAATATAATTTAGTTTAATTTTATTTCAATCCACTTCAACACATGTGGATTGAGATGAATATCATATCACATCGAATGTTTGACATATGTTTCCCTCGGACAAAAGTTTAGTCCTGTCACATCGAATGTTTGGACACATACATGTAGTACTAAATATAGACTAATTATAAAACTAAATACACAGATTGAGACTAATTTGCGAGACGATTTTTTAAGCCTAATTAATTCATGATTTGACAATGTGGTGCTACAACAACCATGTGCTAATGATAGATTAATTAGACCTAATAAATTTATCTCACGGATTACTAGAGACTTCTATAAATTTTTATTTATTTATATCTAAACACTCAATGAGACGTACCATATTACACCTGACACGTGACATCCGTAAACTTTTGCGTCTCACCCCCTTTACTGCCATTTAGCATTGATTGGTGAAAATAGGAGCATTTGCGCAACTCATGTGATCCCCACGTGCTGCCATCTCAGCGGCACCGGCAACCGGCACCCCTCACCTTCCGTCTCCGCGAACAAAACCGCTCGCTCCTGTCCGGCCCGCCATCGTCATTGGTTTCGCGCACTCTCGCTCCTGCTCCCGGTTTTGTCGCTCCCCACTCTCTCTCCTCCAGGCTCCAGACCTCCACCACCCCACACCGCCGCACGCCCACACGCAACCACGAAACGGGAATTTTCTATACTACTTTCCTCGCCCTGCCTGCCCTCACGATCCGATCGGGACCCAACCCTAGCCCGTAATGGCGTCGGCGGCGGAATCGTCGGCGGTCGGCGGCATGCGGAAGGCGCCGTCGCTGGAATGGCGGTGGGTGTCCACGGAGGAGGAGGACGACGAGGACCGCGCCGGGGCCGGGGCCGGGACCCCCGCGGCCGTCGGGGCGGTGGGCAGGGGCGGGAGCTTCGAGTCGGAGGACGACGAGGATGACGACGAGGAGGAGGAGGAGAAGGAGAAGGGGAGGAAGAGGCTGATCCGGACCGTGCCGTCCGTGGACTGGTTCGACGTCGAGGGGAACGAGGTCTCCGTCGCGCAGCAGCTCGACGACTCCGAGGTGAGGAGGGCACGGGTGTTGTTTCTGTTGCGTGATCGAGATGGATTTCCTGTGCTCGGGCGTTTACAATGGCCGGGGTTACGTGCTGATTTGCTTATTTGGAGAAGAAGGATTTCGGGATTTGTAGTTATTATTAATCAGGTGGGGGAAGGAAATCTAATCATTGATAGAGAACTGCCTAAATTGAGCTTAGGCTAAGAAGATCGAGTGCAATGTAAGGCACATTCACATGAATGCCAATTTACTCCTCCAACCTGAACCTACGACACACAGGTAGTAGTAAATTAAAAAAGTGCAGCTAATCTTGCTGGATACTCCCTCCGTGGTTTGGTCCATACAAAGTTGAGTACATATGTGAAAGCAATTAATGAATGTATTGTAAAAGTAAATAGGGCAACATTGAAACGAAACTTACAGGCAGGTAGTGTAAATGTTCAATAGTATTCCAGGTGGGTTTTGTGGAACACCATCAGCTACTGTTTCTTTTTTAAACAGTAACCATTATTTCAAACTCCTGTACCAGATAGATGCGATTTTTTTGGACACTTTGGGAAATTATGTTAGGTGTACATAGGTAGATCCTAATATGTTCCAGTTTGCTGAAGAATGTCTGCCATTGTTGATCATGTTTCACTCATTATCTTTCATGTGGTTTAGTTATTTCATTTACATGTGCAGGAGTTCGATTTTGGCAGGACAATGTTTCTTGCTCTTCAGACTCTTGCTGTGGTGTTTGGAGATATTGGAATTGGTCCATTGTATACATTTGATGTTATGTTTAACAAGTACCCTATTGTTGGAGAGGAGGATGTTCTTGGAGCACTCTCACTAGTTCTGTATACTCTTATATTGATGCCATTAGTGAAGTATGTTTTGGTTGTCCTGTGGGCCAATGATGACGGTGAAGGTATATGCGAGGTTGTGAATTGAGTTAATCAGGTTCAGGCTTTTATGCAAAAGCGTGCCAGAGGCTTACATCTTCCATTGGTTCCATGACTCTGCAGGTGGTATATTTGCTTTGTATTCTTTGATTTGTAGAAATGCAAAAGTGAGTCTCATTCCAAACCAAGTACAGTCTGAGAAGAGGATGTCAAGTTTTCGACTCAAGCTTCCAACACCAGAGCTTGAGAGATCCATAAAAGTAAAAGAGAAACTTGAATCGTCACTACTGTTGAAGAAGTTGCTTCTAGGCTTAGTCTTGTTTGGGACTTCCATGTTCATATCCAATGGAGTTATCACACCAGCAATGTCAGGTTTGCTTCTTTTTCATCGTGTCCACATTTCAACTTAAATCACAAAAGTTCTGTTAGTGGATTAACCATGAAGAATACTATAGACATCGAATGAATCTTTGTCTTTTCCATGTCATTTCAACTTATTTCAATGCTAGAGAGCGTTTTTGTCCAGCCAAATTAATTATTTATCCTTGAATGTAGTGTTATCTGCTGTTAGTGGCTTGAAAGTTGGGCTACCAAATACCTCACAAGGTGATATTTTTTGGTTCTCTTGTATCTCATAGCATGGAGTTTTTTTTTTTAATGAATTATTGCTTACTTTACTTTGTATTTTCATTGAACGTTCTTTGCAGATGCTGTTGTGATGATTTCAGTTGCACTTCTTATAGTATTGTTTAGTGTACAGAGGTATGCCACTAGCAAAGTGGGGTTTGCAATTGGCCCTTCTTTACTTTTATGGTTTTGTTGCCTTGGAGGGATTGGAATATACAATCTGAGTCTATATGGCCCAACAGCTTTTAAGGCATTTAATCCTCTCTACATTATTTATTATTTTGGGAGGAATCCTTTTCAGGCTTGGCTGTCCCTCGGTGGTTGTCTTTTATGTGCAACAGGTAATCACCATAGTTTATTGATCTATAATCAGCTGAATGTCCAACATTTTTTTCCTTTTGGTTGTCGTCTTATTCACTTTGTTGGATATCTTTACTATCGAGCATTTATTAATGAAATAAGATTCTCTTCTGTAATAGCATAGTGGTTCAGAACTTTGTCTTAAATATGTGAGTAAAAACATTTGTTTCTGTCATTATAAAAGACTCACTTTAAGCTTATCCAAACTATATTGCAGGATCTGAGGCCATCTTTTCGAATCTTTGTTACTTTCCTGTAAGATATGTTCAGGTATTATCTGCAAGCCAATGAAGCCTCGACTTCATTTGTTCCCCCCTACTTGCAGCTAATATTTGAAACACTTATATGATCTGTATGTACTTAATAAGCTCTTATTTTACTTTGCAGTATATGTTTGTGCTTCTTGTTCTTCCTTGCCTTGTCTTGGCGTATCTAGGACAAGCTGCCTTTCTCATTGCCAACCAAAAGTCATCTGAGCAGGTCTTCTTTTCATCTATTCCAAGTAAGTTGGATGGTGCTGAACATTTAGCTTATCTGCCATTTTCTCATGGATATTTTCCATAATGCTTCTTCAATACGTAAACAGTCGCTGCTTCAATCAGTTGTGTTTTCTGCTTGCTTTTTTTTTAACTTATCCGGGGGACTAGCTACTTCCACTTATTTTATGCTGGCTTCTCTTTGCAGGTGGAGTTTTCTGGCCTGTTTTCTTAGTGGCGAATCTGGCTGCACTAATTGCCAGTAGGACAATGACGGTTGCTATATTCCAGTGCCTAAAGCAGTCTATAGCACTTGGTTGTTTTCCCCGGCTCAAAATTGTTCATACATCTCGGAAATTTATGGCTAAGATATACATTCCCGTTGTAAACTGGTTTCTAATGGTTTCCTGCTTGGGCTTTATCATTCTGTTCAGAAACATATATGACGTTGGCAATGCATATGGTAAATGATGTATTGATATGCTTTTGATGCCAGTATGTTCTCTATTTGTTCAATCTGTTAGTTTCTGCTGCTCTAACAAAGTTCCATCTTGAACAGCTATCGCTGAGCTTGGGGTGATGATAATGGCCACGGTTTATGTTACAATAATAATGCTTCTAATATGGGAGTTCAATATTACGAAGGTTCTGTCATTTGTTATCACATTCCTATTCTTGGAGCTGATTTTCTTCTCATCAGCTCTGAGTAGTGTCGGAGATGGGGGCTGGGCGTTGTTGATTTTTGCATCTGTTCTACTCATGATTATGTTTATATGGAACTACGGGAGCAAACTAAAGTATGACAGTGAAGTCAAGCAGAAGCTTTCAAAGGATTTGATGAGGAAGTTGGGGCCCAACCTTGGTACCATCAGAGCTCCTGGACTAGGCTTAGTCTACAGTGATATTGTGAAAGGAGTTCCTGCAATTTTTGGTCATTTTCTGACCTCACTCCCTGCGATACACTCGATAATTGTATTTGTGTGTATCAGGAATGTGCCAGTTCCTGTGGTTCCCCAAAGTGAAAGGTTTCTTTTCCAACGTGTATGCTCAAGGGGCTATCACATGTTCCGCTGTATAGCGAGGTAAAAGCTTGATCTTACATGTAGATAAGTTTTGTTCCATGTGAAACTTACACTTAAAAAAGAACATCATGATCGATCGTAGTTAATTGCATATGAAATGTAGATACATTCATGATTCGTCATCCAGTTATGAACTGCTGTAGGGCTTTTTAAGCTTCAGCATATGGAATCAACAGCAAAACCTCCCCTAACATTAGCTTGTTTTTAGCACAGATACGGGTACAAAGACAAGAAGCAGGAGCACCATAGCGTATTTGAGCGTCTTCTGATTGAAGGCCTCGAGAAATTCATACAACGAGAGGCAGTAGAGCTATCCCTACAAAGCGAAGACGACGTCGACTCGGACGAAGAGCCTCCAACCCCTGTGAAGATCATCCAAGCACCAAACGGCAGCCTCTACTCGCTCGACGTCCCTCTCCTGGCGGACTATGCGCCTTCAACAGAGCTCATTCCTGAAGCCAGCTGCTCCACGCCTCAGCACGATCCTGTAGTGGATTATGCCCAGAACCTTGAACTGGAGCTGGCGTTCATCAAGCAGTCCAAGCGGTCTGGGGCCGTCTACCTCATCGACAACCCCATCATCAAGGCTAGGAAGGACTCGTGGTTCTTCAAGAAGCTGATGATAAACTATTTCTTCGCGTTCCTGAGGAACAACTGCCGCCGGGCGATCATGTTGATGAGCATCCCGCACTCGAACATGATGCAGGTGCGCATGACTTCTTATGTCTGATTGCTGGAACTGCACTGGTTCTGCTCATGGCTGTCTGATATAAACCACACTGACCGTAAAAGGATGAAGGTGGCAAATGGCAAAGAGGATATCGGCACTCTTGTTTTTGTTCACAAGTTGATGATGGCTTCGGTTGTTGTAGGAATCTATCTCCCGTGTAGTTGTACAATGCCAAAATGTGGCTGGAAGTTTTAGCTGGCACACCGCTAGGGTGGTGTATTAACCTTTTTCCCCTTGTGCAGCAAAGATTCTGTTTGTCACCCTCCTTGATTTTGTTAGACATTTTTTGTGTTTGCAAAGCTACTGGTGAAATGTGGCCATTTGTAAGTATATTCTCGCCTAGAGCATGTTCTTGCTTTTGCAATGAGCCAAACTGAGATCAGTGTGTTTTGTTAATGTATGTGTTATTTCCTTGCCATCCTGTTGATTTTGCTTCGTGCCGATCGGTCCAGCCTGGCTGGAGAGTTCCTGTTCTGCAGCGAGATTAGTCGAGGACACGAGAGGACTTGTATGATACCGCTTCGTTTTTCTATTTCTTTTCCCCGTACGTGACTGTTCCCGTCCGCATCTCTTCTTCCTCGCTCGCGCGCCTGGGATTTCGCCGAGGCCGGCCGCCGCCTTGAGGTCGGTCGCCAGCCCGCCGGCGCCGCCCCCATCTTCACCGGTCCGCCGGCCTGTCGCGACACCAGGTCGTCGGCTGCCCGCCCCACCTCCACAGGCCCGCGGCGTCACCAGGAAAGGAGAGGTCGGTTTCCGGCGGCAACCTCCACGCCGGCCAGCGAGCTCGGCTCCGGATTCGCCGCGGCGAGGTGCGGATCCGGCGGCGTGCAGCCCTGCCCCGGCGCGCCTACGCGGCTTCGGCGGCGGACAGCCCTACCCCGGTGGCCTGTGCGGTCACCTGCTCCGGCCCTGTCTCACCTGACCGAGCGGTTGCGGCCCCTGCTCCGGCCCTGTCTCACCTGACCGAGCGGTTGCGGCCCCTGCTCCGGCCACCTGCTCCGGCCCTGCCTCACCCGACCGAGCGGGCGCGGCCCCTGCCTCGGCCTCGCGCGAGCGGCAGTCCCCATCGCGGACGGACGAACCGAAAAGGAAGAAGACGCACCGACGCACAGGAAAAAAAAAATTAGTGATTGACAGGTGGGGTCGCATAGGTCATGTGGGGCCGCTGACAGCAGCTTTCCCAAAAGCCACGATTGTGCAACCAACCAAACGGTGTTAGCAGCTTTTTCAAAAGCCATAGCTCACAGTAATTTTTTTAAAAGCTACCGCTCAACCTCTAAGCTTGAGTCAGGCTGTGAGAAGCAGTCTTGTTGGACGTGTTTGTTTGCCTAGACGGGGGCCAGGACATGGCTCATGCGGTGCACTGCGCCGTGTTTGTTTGCCCAGAGGGCGTCTGGGCCTAGGCCGTACGTTGCTTAAAGCAGCTGCGAGCCTAGCTCCCAGAGAACGCCCCTCCCCTTCGTTTCTCGTGGGCACGGTCGAAATCGGCCATTCGCGGGCTCATTTTGGTGGTTGGCGGGCTGCTCCCTCCGTCTCGCGCGCGACGGCATATATTTCCCTCCTTCCACGTCACTAGGGTTTCGTCCTCCCTTATAAGCCGAGGCGCCACTCTCCTTAGTCCCCCTCCGCCACTCCGCTCTCTAATCCCTCTCGTTCTCCACTCTCCTCGGTTCGCTTGCGCATCCTTCTTCCTCCTCCGGCGGTGTATGGTGGCGGTGGGGTCGTAGGCGGGCCTAGCGCGGCTCACGTCGGCTGCTCCGCCTTCGTCTCGCCGGTGCAAGGGTGCGGGTCACCGTCGTCTTCTTCCTCGGGACGACCAGCGGTGCTGGTTGCCGTGTTTGTTTGCCTGGACGTGGGTGAAAGGACCGAGGATGTCGCCTAGAGGGGGGTAAATAGGCGTTTCTAAAAATTTAACCCTTCAAAATGCGGAAACGATTAGAGTTGGAGTTTCCAAACACTTGAAAACTCCTAATCAGATAAATAAACCCCTCATGAGTAAGCCAACAGGGTAAACAAAGTATATTGAATATGTATACGAGATACAACCTTGCAACCACAGAGTTAGAACAAAGAATGAATAATTTCAGCACATGTAGGAAATATCGGAGTGTCCGGTATCAATTTCGAACGTGTCCGATATACACGGGTTGTGCAAGTCAGCTCCCCTCTTCTTCCCTTTCGATCTCTTCTTTTCACTTAGTTGTTGATACCTTTAGGTAACCTGTATACAAGCTCAAGCAACACACAAGATCACGAATGACAAATATAAAGAAAGAGATCGAGACACACGATATGTTTTACCAAAGTTCGGCCTCCGTCGAGACGTACTCTCTGTTGAGGGGGCTGCGAGCGACCCAACAGTAGAGGACTACAAAGGCCACTCTAGCTAGAGTTTTTTTCAACTCCTTTTCCTTCTTCCACTAGTTGATTCCTTCCCTTACGGTGGTGGAATCGAACCGTTATAAACTTTCCGAGGCACACCACAAGCTCTTGGGTGCTCTCCGACGATGCCTAGCCGTCTAGGACTGAAGAGTCCAAGAGTAACAAATGCAAATCAGGAGATCGACAATATGCACAAGTGTTCAAGGGTGGCTTGCTCTTAAATTTGAATCTCTCTTAACCCACAACATAGATTTTGCAAGATTGAATCAATCACTCACTAAGAGAGGGTTGGAGAGTGTTCTCAAAGCTAAAAAACGTGTGAGAGAGTCAGCAGAATCAGCAGCTTCCAAAGGTGGAGGCTAAGTAGTATTTATAGCTCATTTAAAAAACTAGCCGTTATGTGACCGTTGGGCAATACCGGATACGTCCGGTGGTTGTACAGCTGAAAGGTCCTAATGGCTAGAGGGGGGTGAATAGCCTATTAAAAATTTCTACAACAACACTTAGCAAACCGGTTAGACAATTATGAGGCGAAGCAAGTATTGCGTTAGCCTACTAAAAATGCAAGCCACCTACCACAATTCTAGCTTATATAGTTTCTATCCACACAATAGCTATGTCACTACACTAAGTTAGTGCACTCTCAAAAGCTAACTAAAGAGCCACACTAACCAAACTAACAAGCTCTCACAACTAGCTACACTAAAGAGCTTGACAACTAGGTTGCGGTAATATAAAGAGAGAGTGGGCAAGATGATTATACCATCGTGTCGAGGAAGGAACCAATCAATCACAAGAGTGAATACCAATGAAGACCAATCACCTCAGAATCAAATGATGACACAATAATATTTTTACCGAGGTTCACTTGCTTGCCGGCAAGCTAGTCCTTGTTGTGGCGATTCACTCACTTGGAGGTTCACGCACTAATTGACATCACACGCTAAATCCTCAATAGGGTGCCGCACAACCAACACAAGATGAGGATCACACAAGCCACGAGCAATTCACTAGAGTACCTTTTGGCTCTCTGCTGAGGAAAGGTCAAGAACCCCTCACAATCACCACGATCAAAATCGGAGACAATCACCAACCTCCACTCAACGATCCTCGCTGCTGCAAGCCGTCTAGGTGGCGGCAACCACCAAGAATAACAAGCAAATCCCGCAGCGAAACACGAACACCAAGTGCCTCTAGATGCAAACACTCAAGCAATACACTTGGATTCTCTCACAATCTCACAAAGATGTTGAATCTATGATGGAGATGAGTGGGAGGGCTTTGGCTAAGCTCATAAGATTGCTATGTCAATGCAAATGGCCAAGAGAGTGAGATAGAGCCGGCCATAGGGCTTAAATAGAAGCCCCCACGAAATAAAGTTGTTGTACCCCTTCACTAGGCACAACTCGGGGTGACCGGACAACGGATGGCTGCCACGTCATTCCTTTCTTCAAATACTGAGCGCTCGATCCCAACAGTCAAGTGATGACCAGATGCAGCACAGTGCCACGACCGGACGCAGGACCCAGCGTCCGGTCACTTCCAGTAAGGTTCCAGCTATGACCGGACACAGGACCCCAGCGTCCGGTCATTTCCAGTAAGCCTCCACTCACGATCGAATGCGTCCGGTCATGCTCGACTAGACTCACCCAGCGTCCGGTCACACACAGTCTCCTCTATGCACTGCCATGCCAGCAGGACCGGATACACTCATCCAGCGTCCGGTCACAAAGTGACCCAACGTTCGATCACTCTGTGAAATCTTGTCTTTTCTGTATAGGGCGCCGGTGAAGTTTCTTACCCTTGCTCAAATGTGCCAACCACCAAGCGTATCACCTTGTGCACATGTGTGTTAGCATATTTTTCACAAAATATTTTCAAGGGTGTTTGCACTCCACTAGATCCTAAATGCATATACAATGAGTTAAAGCATCTAGTGGCACTTTGATAACCGTATTTTGATATGAGTTTCACCCCTCTTAATAGTACGGCTATCGATCCTAAATGTGATCACACTCACTAAGTGTCTCGATCACCAAAACAAAAATGGCTCCTACCACTTATACCTTTGCCTTGAGCCTTTTGTTTTTCTCTTTTTTCTTTTCAAGTCCAAGCACTTGATCATCACCATGGCATCGCCATCATCATGTCATGATCTTCATTTGTTTCACCACTTGGAATGTGCTACCTATCTCATGATCACTTTGATAAACTAGGTTAGCACTTAGGGTTTCATTAATTCATCAAAACCAAACTAAAGCTTTCAACAGCCCTAATGGTCACTTTGCCAATGACGCGCGAGATGTCGGAACTCCCGACGATCGCTGAAACTCCCAACGATCACCGGAACTCCCGACCCCCGAAACTCCTGACTCACGTCGGAACTCCCGATGAGCCAAGCCGAGACAACGAAGAAATTGTTGTGATTGGACAAATGTCGAACACGTCCGGTATCAATATTGCCAGACCAGCAGGAAACAAGTTAGCTCTTTTGTCTCTCAACCACTCAAACCTCACATGGGTTGGCTTGAGCACTTATGAATGATTATCAATCAACATGATGCATCCCTCTTAATATACGACATACCTATTAACTCAAGATCAAATGAAAATGGAGTTTGAAGCACTTGAGTTGAATTTACTTAACCGAAATGCCATAGCCTTCAATCTCCATCAAGTGAGGGTGTCAACATGTTGATTTTTATTTTATCCTTGAGCATTGCCATCTTGAGCATTTGACTTGATTCCATTCAACATGATTTGCTTTTATAAAGTCATCTAGGATTTGATTCTTCACTTCAATATGACCAACATGATTTGATTGGTGCCTTTACTAAATGCATGTACTTCCTTCTTCACCCTAACTTGGTTCCTCGGTCACCAAGCCGTCGCTTGCCCTTCACCCTTACTTAGTACCTCAAAGTCTTTCCTTACTATCTTTACCATCTCAAGCCATCTAGTCACACTTGATGTTAAATCATTCATTAAGTTCATTTGTATACTTGTCTTTCATCTTAGCAAGCTTCGATCGGTGAGACCAATCCATATGCAATCTCTTATGTCTCATTAATTATTTTTCAACATGCTTGCTTTCATATGAATGATCGAAATCCCATAACAAATAAGCCTTGCATGAATTATATTTGCATTGTTGTCATTTGTTTGAACTAAATTGTTTCCAACAATACATCATTTTGACTTGCATTAAATCTCTATGAGATAACTTATTACCTGACCACACTTAGCAAATGAGTTAGACCTTTAATCACGTTGTCATTCAATCATCCAAAACCCACTAACGGGTTAGATGCACTTTCAGTGGGTCCTCCCTCCTCGGATCTGCTTCCTTCTCCCCAAGCCACCGGCTTCTTCCTCCTCTCTGTCCTCAAAGCAAGGTGAAATATTGAAATGTTTGGCTTCACAAGACAATGATGTGATGCTTCAGATCTGTTTGTTCTTGGTCCTAATCGATGATGTCTTCATGTTCTTGCCTGATTGCAATGACACATTTGTGCTACGGTTAACTGTTGAACATGATTTGAGATTGGGATTTCTTTAGCATGGATTATGTGGGTTTTTCATGGTCTATGATGTTGAGGTGGAACCTATGGGTGGATGTGATTTGCACATGCAGCCAAGGTGATGAAACCTAGTCCACCACTTGTATTGTATGTCTAAAATGTTACCATTTAGAGGCCAGCAAGGCATGCCTAAAACTGAAATAAAATTATCATTCTTGCATGTAGATGACTTCGACCAGCAAAGATCTGCCATGGCTAAACAAGCTGTTGCCATGGTAGTTGTCATGGTTACTCTGGTTTCATCCAAACTGAAAAGGCATAGAGAGGATGATGAGCCCATTTGTTATGGCCCTAGGTTAGAAGCAGATGAATACAGGGAGAAGAACCTTTCTCTCATCTACAACTCAACTGATGCTGAGTGCATAGCCATGCTTAGGATGAGCCGAGCACCATTTTTTCACTCTGCAATTTGTTTAGGCAGAGTGGCTTGGTTCTGGACTCCATTAATGTTTTTGTGGAGGAACAAGTTGCCATGTTCCTTCATGTGGTTGGACATAATCAAAGGATTAGAGTTGTGCACCAGAGCTTTAGGAGATCTATAGAGACAGTTAGTAGACACTTTCACCAGGTTCTTTTTGTTGTTGGGGAACTGAGGGCTGACCTGATCAAACCACCTTCTGGTGCAACACATCCTAAGATCCTAGGAAGTCATAGGTGAAACCCTTTTTTCAAGGTATTTGTTGGATGCCTTGGTTTATTATTCTATCTGTAGAGTGCTGTTCACGTAAGATTACTTATGTTTCTTCATTACTCATAGGACTGTATAGGGGCAATTGATGGCACCCATGTGTTGGCAAGGGTGCCCAGGCGCATGCAGGGGCCATTCAGGGGTAGGAAACAAAGCTGCACACAGAATGTGATGGTAGCTGTTGATTTTGATCTCAAGTTCACATATGTACTGGCTGGGTGGGAAGGTTCTGCTCATGATGCACTTGTTCTAGCTTATGCTTTAGAGAGAGATGAGGTGTCTGAGTGTTCTTGAAGGTAACATTGTCTACCATAGCTGGTTACTATTTCTTAAACCATTTGAACACTATTATAAAGCAATACAACATTGCCTTGTAGGAAAATTCTATCTTGTGGATGCTAGGTATGCCTGTAAAACTAGTTTCCTGCCTCCTTACAGGGGTGTCAGGTACCATCTATCTAAGTATGGTCCTAGGCATTATCCTACCAATGCCAGAGAGCTGTACAATCTGAGACACAGCTCTCTTAGAGCGAGCATTAAGAGGGCTTTTGGGACTTTGAAGAATCGCTTTTGAATCCTATATAACAATTAACAATGACTAATGCAGTCAACAATGTAGCCAATGCAGATCTGTACCATGTTATGATGGATATGCCTGGCTTTCTCCCACCTGCTGGACAACACCACGGGGTTCTTTGGCTTAGGACTTTCCTTGTCAAGAACTACTACATGTAATTCCCCTAGGGCCTTCCTTGCCCTGGTCTAGAGGGAAGCAGTTGAGGATTATATGCAGTCCCTTCACCCTCCACCACTCTCCTTGACTGACTTTTGTATATTTTTGGTTGGGGTGTGACCTTGTGCTCTACTGAAGGGACTGACACACATTCTTTTGGTTTGTGGTTGATGTATGATTGAGGAGGTGGATAACTATAGATGGCATGTAATGAATAATGAGGTAGATAACTCTTGGTACCTGGTCAAGGTGCAAACATTTGGTGGATAAATGCCATATGGTCTGTAACATAACTTGATTTGGCCATGCTATTAACGCAGTGCCACACATGACATTATTGAAAAGCTATTACACATGATCATCTAGTCTGAGGCCATATTTTTTTATTTTACCTATGATGCAGTACATGAAAAGCTGAGGCATTTCAACTATAACCTTCCTGTGATGTCTATTATTACCTTGCCATGTGTAATCCAACTATTTGTTTCTTGAGTTTGTCTACCACTTCAACTGATGTAGACAGTCTCATTGAACAAATTGATGGGTGGCACCTGAAACTTTTTGGACTGAGGCTTTGGTGCTTATTCTATGTAGAGAAATATGTGCCTGGTATGTTGTTTTAAAGGGGTACAAATCTGGTGTATACCCTAGCTGGGCTCAGTGCAGTAAGCAAGTGATGGGGTATCGAGAGGCTGTGTATAAGAAGTACAAGTCCTATGAGCAGGCCATTGCTAATTTCAACTCAACAGTCAACTCAATTCCTTCTAACAAACCTTCTACCTCTATTTCTGTGGTGGAATCTGCAGCACCAAGTTCGGCTATGAACTACAAAAATGTTGTCATTATCTTTCCGTGTACTTTGGTTTTTGTCATGTGGATGAAGCTGAACAATTGCAAAAGCTGTTAGTAATGAACAGCTTTGTTATCGGTTTATTTAATTAGACTAAATTGCGTTTTATCATGTTGTAATATGAGTTAAACTGGTCCAAACAATTGCTATTGCATAGACTGTTGTATGGCTTCATTTGTGCTATACTATGCTTGTTTGTTGGTCTGCCCAAGACGTGCAGGCAAACAAACGCCTTCTCAGACCGGTGGTTGGAAGGTAGTTGGGATCACTAGCAAACACAATCCGATTTGAATCAGGCTCAGTTAAGAAAAACAACCGAACAAAAGGGTGTAAACAAAAGGGTGTTGCAGCCGCTGGATCTACCCTTGCCTATACTGACTGAGCTGGTCCATACACGTACACGTCCAGACAAACAAACACGCCCGTTCTCTTTCAGACCCGGCTTCGCGAATGATCGTGAACCCACATCCCCTCCGCTTCTCCGGCCGCCGCGCCGGACTCCGCCGTTCGCTTGCCGCGACGTGCGCGTCTCCCTCCTCCCACTGCCTCCGCCGTCCCCCTCTTCTCCGAGCGCGGCGCGTAACGTGGGTAGCCCACCGGCGAGGTGGCCCGCATTGACATAGAGCCGCGACGGTAGCGAAACGTTCGGGGAAGCCGTGCGTACCGCATAAACCCGTCCTCGCAACTAGCCGTTGTACCCGTCTCTCCCGAAAATCCATCCCGCTTCCCCTCGACGGCCCACCCCCCCTTCTCCACTCCGATCCGATCTCTCCGGCATGGCCGCCGCCGCCGCCACGCCGTCGGGGCGCGGGGACCTGATGCCGCCTCCGCTACCCGTACCGCCGACGACTGCGGCCCGTCCGCGCCGCCGCGGAAGGGAAGTCAGCTCCCGGTACCTCTCGACGCCCGTCCCCTCGACCCCGCGCCTCTCCACCGCCTCCGCGGCCTCCTCCACGCGGTCGCGCTCCCCGACGCCGTCGCCTCGTGGACGGCAGCGGGCGGCCACGCCCTTCGCCAACGAGAACCACCCGCCCCCGCCGCCGCCTCCCACGGGCACCGTCGCGCGCCGGCGGGCCGTGCAGAAGCTTTTCGACGAGACGGGCGCCGGCAACCCGCGCGCCTCGCTGGGCTCCAACTCCTCTGCCTCCGCCGTCCCAGCACCTACTCCGCGGCCGCTCCCGCGCTCCACCAGCCGGCCGGCCGCGCACACCGCGCGGAGAGGGTACCCGCGCCTTCCGACGCCCGCGCGTGCTGGCTCCTCCTGCCCTTCCTCTGCCGCGGTGGAATCCCACGCTGCCTCGTGCTGCTCTTCGTCTGATACGTCGTCCACGGCCACTGACTTCTCTGAGGCCGATGTGGCGCTCGGGATGGCCCCAGCCGCGCCGTGCGAGAGCCCGCCGCTGCTGGGCCCAGCGTCCTGCCGCGGGGGACGCCTCTCGTCAGAGCTCCGATCGTCGGTGCCGGAGTCGGGCGGGTCCTCGCGGGCGTCCAACCCACTGTGCTACCGCTCGCTCAACTCGGCACTGTCGATCTCAACGGCGATGGCTGGGAAGCTGACGGCAGCAGGGAGGCCACCACAGCCGCAAGGGCCGAAGGCAGCTGATCTGAAGAAGGCGACGATCGTGGGGGGCAGGAAGGTCGCGGGGAAGCAGGAAGACGTGCACCAGCTGCGGCTGATGGACAATTCGTACCTCCAGTACAGGTTCCTCAACGCCCGGGCTGAGGCTGCAGGCAAGGCCAAGGCGGCTGCTGCAGAGGTAAGTGGTTGTTAATGGAGGTGCATCGGCCCAGCCGTCAAGGGGGTCGCTACGAATTAAGGTGCTGATGATTTGTTGTTTTTGGTTTTGTTGAGTGCATAGAAATCGTTGTACGGGCTCGAGGAGAAGATTGCCAGCCTCAGCGCATCTGTTGCTGAGAAGAGGGCAGGGGTGGAGAGGATACAGAGGGATCATAGATTGAGTTCAGTAGTAAATGCACAGGTACGGCGAAGCTGTGATTTCTGAATTTTGAATTGCTGTTGTGTTCAGTGTGCATTTCTTCATAATGGGTGCTAACCAAATTGCGTGATTGTTGAATCTTCAATCAAATAAATCACAGGAATCAATTAATTTCTTGGCATGCATTAGTCAGATAAATCACATGAATCAATATATTTTCTGACATGCATGATAGAAACTAATGTGGGGAACCTCGCGGCTATTCACTAGGAATAACACTAAATGGATATGTTTGACTACTATATCAACTGAATTCAGAAGTAGAACAACATTATTTAAATCTAGAATAGGGTTAAATGTCCAGAATTATATCCAGTTTTCCCATTCAGAAGTTTGTTTTTTCAGAAAAAATGGAAAATGTATGATACAGTTTGTGTGGTACTCTCCTTTTTTGTTGCCTGTATAAAATTGAAAAAAAATATAGGTCTAGCTCTTGAAAGCCATGTATATCTTGACAGCGTGAGTTTATTTGTATCAAATCAGGTACCATGTCTGTTGTCAATGTGAATTTTACATGTAACAGGTTAAGTATTCAGAATAAAACCAGTTGCCCCATTTAATTATTATTTCTTCTTTTTCAAAGGAAAATAGAAAAGATATTACATGATTTGTGTGGCACTCTCCTTGTTTGCTTTTCTGTAGAATATACAAAATATGTTCATGAAAACTATGTGTATTGTGACTGTGTGAGATTCTTTGTATCAAAGTGGTTATCATGCTTTGATTTATATTTATTTGCTGAGATGTATGGTACAAAGGGTATATATATATGGTCAATATGAATTTTACATGTAACACTTTTCTCTTGCGTTACTCTAAAAACGAGATGTGAAACTTTCAGGTGCCATATTTGAAGCAGTGGAGTGACATTGAGGGGGGTCATGCAAGCTGCCTTAGAGGGGCAACAGCAGCACTATATAACTCCTCGTTAAGGCTACCAATCATTGGGAGTGTAAATGTAGGACTTCAATACTTCATTACACATCATTTTGTGCATAAGACCAAGTATCATGTTGTAAATTGATATGCTTGCAGGCCAACTGCGAGGAACTTACAGAAGTCCTTAAGTCGGCAACACAATTGCTTGAACCGCTTTCACCTTGTATCGAAAATTTCCTGCCAAAGGTGAGATTACAGACAATTTTGAAAAGCATAACTACCAAAGCAGTGTGATGCCTAGCTTTCTTTAGATGCTTTTGGTCCATGTTCAATAACTGAAATCGTTAAAATATATCCGTAAATTGGCAGCGTCAGATATAGTTTTAGATGAAATATAGTAAGAATATCTTTTTAAGCTATATATAAATCAAAATCAGATAGGGCGAAGATAATAGCAAATTTAATGGAATAGAAACTTAGTTCCTAATGTAGTAGTGGTTCCTTTTTAAGTCATATACTTATCATCGCTTCTTGCTTTAACTAATATTGATAAAGTGTTTATAAATTTGCAAATTTTAGATAGATTCAGTTATTGTGGTGAATGTGGTGTTCTCATTTGATTTGGTGTACCTATGCAACGAAAAAACTATCTCGTCATGTAGTAAGTCCTTGTTTATGCAACAACAAAAATTATATTGCCAATTTGCCATGTAGGTCCAACAAATCGACGATGTGGCATGTAATCTTGCCCAAGTTATCACTACTGAGAGAACCTTAATAGAGGAGTGTGGTAATCTCCTATACCAAGCACAGAACCTGCAGGTATGGATCTAAATTGACAATCATCTCACTTCAGTCAGCATATCACTTTCCCTGTCTGGCATCTGCTCTGACTTTGCCACATACGTCCTGTTCGTTTGGCTTATAAGCCGTACTTTTTCAGCCAACGAATAGTATTTTTCTCTCACAACAAATCAGCCAACCGTACTTTCGGCTTGGCTGATATACTTTCAACCATGGCTTATCAGCCAAGCGAACATGGCATATCCAACTCTGATGCAATAACAAATTCCAATTGCATAGATGAGGGAGAGCAGCTTGAGGAGTCAAGTGATGCAACTGAAAGAAAATGAAGCGAAGTAACAGAAGGAAGATGGGGGAAACACGCCGCCAGGTCGTTTGTTCGACAGAGGGAGCTAACTGTGCTCCACCATTGGATGCCCCAGGTGGACAGAAGTTGCCTGATCGATACATAAGTACATAACCAAACGCTGCGAATCAAGAATTGCTGATTCTTTCCAGTAGATATGTTCGGTAATTTGCCGTGGAAACATTTTTGCTGTGTAGCTATTGAAAAAACAGATACAAGAATCGTTTTCCGAATAGAAATTTGTTGATTCTTTGTACTACGCGTGTTGCGCAAAAACCACTCTCTTTTTGTTAGCGCCCGGGAAACAAAAATTCCCGGGTCTGTGTTTGACGAAATATATAGATATCAGCACAATCTTGTTAAGATGAATTTGAGACGAAGGGCAGCTAACAGCTATAGAGAAGTTTTGAGACAAAGGTAAGATAAATTTTGAAAAATAAGCTATAGAAAAGTTTTGAGACAAAGCTAGGATGACCTAGCTAGTTATGGTTTGATATATAGGGAGTAGTATAGTACGTTCAAACGCGTAGTTCCAGGTGTTGAGATGCGGTGCTCAAGATTTCTCTCCCAAAAGAAGGGACAGTCCCTGTTCATGAGCTACTCCAATTACAGAGCTTCCATTCGACTCTCTCGCCACGGTTCAACACGACAACGAAACTGGCGCATGCATGATGTTTCTCCAAACATTATTCAGCCAGCTAGTGGAGTAAAATTCATCTGGACAACGATGGAAATTGGTGTTCGGTCTACGGCAAGCCTGAGCCCTTCTCCCTGGCCTCCCTCTTGTTCCGCTCCCGCGCGATCCGGTCCCGCTCCTTCATGACGGCGTCCACGTCCTCCTCGTCAGGGACCACGCTGTCCTTGACGCTGTGCGCGGCCTCCTTGGCCGAGTCCCAGGTCCTCCGCGCCTCCTGCTTCGCCATGGCCCCGATCGTCTGCGCCGTCTCGGCCACCTTCCCGGCACCCTCCTTGGTCATCTCCACCACTTTCTCCCCGGCCGACACGGTGCCCTCCACGGCCCGCTCCGCCGCCTCACCCGTGCGGTCCTTGGCTGCCCTCGCCGTCTCCTGCGCCCGGCCCGCGGCCTCGTGCCCCACCTCCTTGGCCCGCTCCTTCACGTGCCCCGCCCTGTCCGCGGCCTCCCGCGCCGCGTCACGCGCCTCCTGCTTCGCCTTCTCCGTCGCCCGGGACGCCGTGTCCGCGGCCTCGTGCCCCATCTCCTTGGCACGCTCCTTCACGTGCCCCGCCCTGTCCGCGGCCTCCCGCGCCGCGTCACGCGTCTCGTGCTTCGCCCTCTCCGCCGCCCGGGACGCCGTCTCCGCGGCGCCCTCCGCCATGCCCTTCGTCTGCTCCTTGGCCCTCTCCGCAGTGTCCGACGCCTGTTCCGCCATGCGGCCGGCCTTGTCCTTCGCCTCCCCGGCCATCCTCTTGGCGTGCTCCTTGGCATCGCCGGTGGCGTCCTTCGCCTTCTCCGCCGCGTCCTTGTACTTGTCCCTGATCTCCCTCCGGTCCTCCGGCGCGTTGTCGTACGCCTGAGAAGCAACAGAACGTAAATGCGTGTCAGTGTCTACCTCCGACGAACTCGATCGCAGAAGTGACAGCGGCGTGCCAGCGGTGACGCAGCAGTGAGCATACCTGGGACGATCTTGGCGCAGCCTGCAAGCAGAGGCGGGTCCAGCTCGCCGGCTGCGGGCGCAGAGGAAGGAAGCACGCCGGCGTGGGGAGAGCCTGCTTGATGGCAGTGTTGCCAGTGAGCTTGGCGGCGCCGGCGACGCGCGCGCCCCCGAGCAGCATGGCGGCCATTAGCCTGGACATAGACGACGACGTCGACGACTAACCGGCGAGACTGCGCGTTGAGGTGAGGTCTTGGATGGGATCACCGAGTTACCAGTTGTGGATGGGCTTCAGGATCATGAGCTTGCAAGGCGGATACCGTGCGTTGTTATAAAGGAGCCAAGGAGGTGGAGGTGGAGCTGACGAGACGATGGGAGGTGACACGTCCGGAGACACGTTGCGGTGCAAGCTCCGGAAGAGGACACGTGCTGACGCGTGCGGCGCTCTGGTGTGTGTTGCTGGCCCGCGGGAGGGCAGTCGCGCCAAGTCAAACCATTCAGAGGATCAGAGGATCAGAGCTAGCGCGGCAATCAGTGGTGGGAGTCATGGACTAAAGTTGAGTCCCGTCTCGTCGAATATGTGATAGTAATTAAAAAGACTAAATATGAAGTAATTATAAAATTAATTGTATAAGTCACGACTAATTTGGAAGACGAATTTATTAAGCCTAATTAGTTCATAATTAGCCTATGTTTACTGTACCATCACATTCGCTAATTATAAACTAATTAGGTTTAATAAATTCGTCTCACGAATTAGTCTTCGTTTATACAATTAGTTTTGTAATTAGTCTACATTTAATACTTCTAATTAAACATTCAATGCGACGGGACTAAAGTTTAGTCCTTGGGAAGGCATCTGCTTCCTCTGTTTAAAATCATCCGGTCGTCGTTTATTTCGTGAATAAACTTTAATCCATAATAAATAAGTTAACATATTATTTGTATATAAAACTATAATTATAAGTAAGTCCTGTAGCAGCAATTTTACATTACAGTAATATATAATAAATATTTAAATTTAAATTGGATATGTCGTCTCACAACAAAACAAGATATGTTTATTGATACTTGCTTATGGACAACGCATAATTTCATTGTTTCTTGGCGTGTGGGAAAAATTGTAAGGTATGGTTTGCTCTTTCTTTCTTTTCAATTTTTGTCATTATTAATGGTTAGTTTTGTTATGTCAGAATCTGTTGACTTGGGTTTAGATCTTTGAGATTTCACCTTAGGGGCCGTTTGGTTGGTTGAATCGGTTCCGATTCTTCCGAGAAGCACTTAAAACGGTGTTAAACGGGTGAAAAGCGAAATGTTTCACTTGTAATGCCTGGGTTCCTGAATCGGCCAGGATATGTAGGGTATGTATTTTTGGCTAATAATTTTTTAAAAAAAACGTCTGCGGATGTGATTAGTGTCTGAAATACGTTTTGTGAAAAAAAAGAGTTCTGATCGTTTTGTCAGCTCGTTGGTTAAAACCAAACAGTGAAGTCGGTGAGCTACGAAGCAGCTGGTGCCCGGATGTTCGAACGGACACCCACGTCCTGATGTAGTCAGCGCCTGCACCCATCCCGCCCGATCCACCGAGCCCGTTACTGATCGGCCCTTGGCTGCGCCCATAAGGTCCCGTCCCGTCGAGTGTAAGGTCGAGATGGTGACTAGAGAGAGGGTGAATAGTCATTTCTAAAACTTAATCACGTCGGCTAACCGAAACAACTGCAGAATTAAAACAATCGGTCTAGCCAAGACTACGCGCCTCTATCTATATTCTCTAGCACCTTACAAAGATTCTAATTAAGCAACTAAGATGTCGGATTAGCTAGAGCTCACCTAACCAATTCTAGAAGCAAGGTCACACAAACCTATGCCGCTAGCACTTCAAGCAATGAGGGAGCTCCTACACATGCTAGAAAGCAAAAGCACAAAGCCACCTAAGCTCACTAGCAATGCTCAATAACAAGACAACCAATGCCAAATTAGAGAGCGCAAATACTTAGCTACACAAACTAAGCAATGTGACTAATAAGGTTACACAAACCAAATTAGCCACGTAAGGGAGCAACTTCTATGCCACACAAGCTAGAAAGTAACTAGCAAGCTACATAAGCTAACTAATTACAAGAGCAACTACACAAGCACAATGTATATGAAAGTAATTACAAGCTTGTGTAACGAGGATGCAAACTAACATGAATACAAGGATGACACGATGATTTTTTTCCGAGGTTCACGTGCTTGCCAACACGCTAGTCCTCGTTGAGACAAGCTTCAAGGTTGCCGCTGGTCCTCTTACTAGTGGTGATCCGCAAGTCACACTCTCCCACGTGGAGTGCTTACCACAAGCTTAAGCACTTGACCCGAGCGGCCACTTGTCGCCATTCGCGTCTTACTTTAATAGAGTTGCTCTTCGTGACTCCTGCGGGACGAGCACAATGTCCCTCACAAAGCTCTTCTCCGGAGCACCGCACAAGCTTCTTGCGGGCTTTGACGGAGACCACCACCAAGCCATCTAGGAGGTGGCAACCTCCAAGAGTAACAAGCACCACCGGCTTGCCAATCGATCACCTAGTGCCATTCGATGTAACTTCACGATGTAATCGCACTAGAATCGCTCTCTCACACAATCGAATGATCACTATCAAGCATATGTGAGATGGAGGGCTCCCAAGCACTCTTAAATATGGGCACAAAGTCCCCCAAGGTGCTCAACCTCAGTCATGGTAAAAGGTCCTAATATGGCTAGAGGGGGGGTGAATAGCCTATTTACAAATCTACAAATCAACTAGAACAATTTGATTAGTATGACAAATAGCGTAACGCAAACTTGCTCTAGCTCTACAAGGGTTGCAAGCCACCTATCCAACAATTATAGTTGCAAAGATTACTTAGGCACACAAACTTGCTATGTAACTACTCACTAAGAGCTCTCAAACTTGTAACTCTAAAGAGCTCAACTAGATAAATGTAAATAATAAAGCAAGCTCTCAATTCTAATTACACTAAAGAGCTTGTATCAACTAGTTTGCAAGAATATAAATAAGTGAGTAGGGTGATTATACCGCCGTGTAGGGGATGAACCAATCACAAGATGAATATATAGCCAATCACCGAGAGAATGCCAAAGATAAGAGACAATCGATTTTCTCCCAAGGTTCACGTGCTTGCCAACACGCTACGTCCCCGTTGTGTCGACCAACACTTGGTGGTTCGGCGGCTAAGAGGTGTTTCACAAACCTCGTCCACACGATAGGACACCGCAAGAACCGACCCACAAGTGAGGTAACTCAATGACACGAGCAATTTACTAGAGTTACCTTTCGGCACTCCGCCGGGGAAGGTACAACTCCCCTTACAATCACCGGAGATGGCCACGAACAATCACTAACTCGTGCCAATCCTCCACCGCTGCTCCAACCGTCTAGGTGGTGGCAACCACCAAGAGAAACAAGCGAAATCCGCAGCGCAACACGAATGCCAAGTGCCTCTAGATGTAATCACTCAAGCAATGCACTTGGATTCTCTCCCAATCTCACAATGTTGATGAATCAATGATGGAGATGAGTGGGAGGGCTTTGGCTAAGCTCACAAGGTTGCTATGTCAATGAAAATGACCAAGAGTAGGAGCTTCAACCGTCTATGGGGCTTAAATAGAAGCCCCCCACGGAATAGAGCCGTTATACTCCTCTTAATAGTACGGTTATCTATCCTAAATGTGATCACACTCTCTAAGTGTCTTGATCACTCAAACAAAATGGCTCCTATTATTTATACCTTTGCCTTGAGCCTTTTGTTTTTCTCTTTCTTCTTTTCCAAGTTCATCATCACCATGCCATCACCATTGTCATGATCTTTGTTATTGCTTCATCACTTGGAGTAGTGCTACCTATCTCATAATCACCTTGATAAACTAGGTTAGCACTTAAGGTTTTATCAATTAACCAAAACCAAACTAGAGCTTCCAATCTCCCCCTTTTTGGTAATTGATGACAACCCTTATACAAAGATATGAATTAAAGTTCATTTGAATCCATGTTGCTTACCCAAGCATATTTACGATGTGTAAAGGATATGGACAAGTTTCATGAACTCCATAGGGTAGCAATTGCTCCCCCTACATATGTGCTACGAGTTTGGATTATATGCTTGTACATATGCTTAGATAGGAAATATAGGAGTCAATTTCTACCAAATGATGCTAAGGTATAAGAGATGGATCTTTGAAGCGTGATACCAATCGGAGTGCACCAATATACCATCCTTAGCACCATTAGTAACTAGACATTCATAAAAACTAGAATACCCCATGAGATCAACATTGCAAGTGAGGGTCTAGTTTCTATAAAATGATTATAAGTCTAGTTACTTTAGCTCAATACCACTTGGAAATACAATCACTAGATTACCTATGCATGCTAGTTTTTTATTTCATCAATCAAGCATATAACTAGCATATACCACACAAGCATGGATATTGAAATTTGAAACTTGTGCCATGCAAGCAAATATATGAAATACACATTCAAACGCAACATACAAGTTTATGAGCTTGCTCCCCCTACTTGTGTGCTCAAAATTTTAATTGATCCATTTCCTTTATCATATATCTCATGTCTCTCCCCCTATGTCAAATACTCCCCTATCACACATATCTTTGTTTCTCTCCCCCTTTGTCAACAATTAGCATAAAGGTGAGCTCAAATTATAAATAGGTTGGGGTGAAACCATGTGAGATGAGGATCATTTTCTCAATTTGGTTCAATCTAGATTATTTGCAAAAGATATTTAACTCGGTTTGATCCAAGGACGAGCTTCTTCACACCTCTAAATAAGGGTTATCTTGTACCATATTGAGTTAAACACTTATAGCTTATTTTCTAGATCAAACACTAGGTTTATAAGCCCACAAACATGTTATATGCTACCACTAGATCATTTCAAGCATACAAGCAATAGTAGTACCATACAAGCATCAAATTCATTTGATTTTCATGAACGAGCCTATTCAAATGTGAAATATGTCTAGATGCACTAATCATGTCCTTAGTAAGGATGTATGCCATGCCAATCAACTTTTACCTTGAATTGCTCGAAGGAGAGGCATGTCATATAATGGGGGTGCATCAACACATATTGGAGAAGTCAAGTATGTTCAATTCATTCCTTAGCTTGCAAAACCTCTTCTCATCAAGTGGCTTGGTGAAG